GTACCACGTGTTGTGTGTCCATCATCTTATGGACAGATGATACCCCATCGTGTGCGTGTACCACGTGTTGTGTATCCATCGCCTCTTGGTGGATATTTGGGTTGTTTTCTCTTGGCTGTTGTGAATGGTGCTGCTGTGAACATATGTGTACCTGTTTTCAGTTCTTTTGGGTATATACCTAGAAGGGGAATTCTTGGGTCAAATGGTAATTCTATATTTAACGTTTTGAAGAACTGCCAAATTGTTTTTCCAAAGTGACTGCACCATTTTTCATTCCCACCAGCAATTTATGAGGGTTCAAATTTTCCTACATCTCGCTAACACTTATTATTTTCTATTATTATATACAGCCATCTTAGTGGGTATAAGAAGGAGCCCTGGTGGCACAGTTTTTAAGTGCTTGGCTGCTAACTGAAACTTTGATGGTTTGAACCCATCAGCCACTCAGCAGGAGAAAGATGTGGCCACCTGCTTCCGTAAAGATTACAGCCTTGAAATCTTGAAACAGGCTTGAAACAGCCTATGGGACTGTTCTCTTCCTTTGTCCTGTAGGGTCGCTGTAAGTCAGAATCGGCTTAATGGCACACAACAACAAGAGTGGGTCTAAGCAGTATCTCACAGTGGGTTGGGTTTGATTTCCCTGATGACTAATGATGGTGAGCATATCTTTGGAGAAATGTCTATTCAAGTTCTTTGCCCATTTTTAAAGTGGATTGTTTGTCTTTTTGTTGTTGAATTGTAAGAGTTCTTTATATAGTATGTATAAAAAAAAAACTTGCCGTCGAGTCGATTCCGACTCATAGTGACCCTATAAAACAGAGTTGAACTGCCCAAAAGGGTTTCCAAGGAGTGGCTAGTGGATTTGAACTGCTGACCTTTTGGTTAGCAGCCATAGCTCTTAACCACTGAGCTACCAGCACTCTATATAGTCTATATACTAGACCCTTATCATATACGTGATTTGTAAACATTTTCTCCCATTCTGTAGGTTGCCTTTTCTCAGCCTTGTTTTGCATATACTTGTTCCCCTTTTTGATGGTGAGCATTTAAAGGGCAAGGACTATATTGTGTACATCTTTATAGCAGTATCATTAAGATAGTAGGAGCTTAGTAAATGCGTGTTGAATAGGAAAGAGAGTTGTCAGCCATTTCCCTTTAATGGTACAATAATCACAGAGACTTTAGAACATAATGCTTCAAAGCTTACAAAGCCCTTGTACGTACTTCCGCTGGCACCTTACATCCTGACATTCACCCGTGGTTTTTTCCCTCTCAGGATAGGTAACTGCTGTTAACAGGGCTGTTTGTTTTTCAGCTGGGAACTGCTGTCGGCTTTTTGCTGCCACCGCTTCTGGTGCCCAACACGCAGAAGAACACCCATCTCCTGGCGCACAACATCAGCACCATGTTTTACGGGACCTCGGCCATCTCCACACTTTTGTTCATTCTAACGATAATCGGTAAGCACCTTAGTTTCACTAAAGCTGACATAGATAAATGTGTGACAAAATATGAAGATAAGCAGTGCTGAACGTTTTTATTGATAATGTCTCACATGCTGTTTGCTGGTTTCATTCTGACTGCACCGTCTTTCTCAGGGAATGACTGCTACAACCCCAGGGATGTGTCATGGCCCATCACATCTGTTTTACTATCATGAAGCGTTTGAAGACTAATTCATCTCATTTATCTCCCTACTAACTTTTCTTCCTGATAACTGTCATTTTCAGACATACTACCTGCCTCCTCTTTTCCATGTGCCTTTAAATGATCTACGTCTTATGCTAACCAGGGAGTCCCTGGGTGGCACAGCTGGTTAAGCACTCAGCCGCGAGCCGAAAGATTGGTGGTTCGAACCCACCCTGAGGCGCCTCGGAAGACAGGCCTGGTGATCTGCTTCTGAAAGGTCACAGCCATGAAAACCCTATGGAGCAGTTCTACTCTGTAACACATGGGGGTCGCCGTGAGTCGGAATCGACTCGCCAGCAACTAACAACAGTGAGCTGCTCACCTAGCCAGGGACGAGTTCTTGTCCTGCTTTGAAATGATGAGCATAGGCTACAGCCTTCTTAGTGAGAAGTCCTTCCAAGAATACCCAGTTTAACATTGAAATGGTCTTGGGCAGCAGCAAGCTGTTCTGCAGAATTTCAAACTGGCAACTGTCTGCTTGTTAGGCCATCCAGCAAAGTCCTGCTGCCGCCACTCGCCAGAGTCCTCTCGCCTGGGCCTGTCTCTTGAAGCAGTCAGTCAGAGTCAGCTGCAAGCAACCACCATCCAAGTGGGAGAAGGAAGCTTTGGGAAGGTCTGCTGTTTCCGTTTATTTTTAATGGGAAACAATTTGATGATTTCAGGGAAAAGGATAGGTAAGATGCATTTAAGTAATGTAGCCGCTAACGTAACTGTAACGTTGCCCTTCAGGCACTCGGTAAATCTTAAACTCATTTGAAGAGGGAAGGAGTGAGAAAGCTGAGAAGGCTGTCCTCGTAACCATTAAAATGTACAGTTAAACTGCATTATAGCTGGAGTTTTTAATTTAGATGTTAATTTTTACAATGGCTATAATAGTAATGAGGGAGCCCTGGTGGCTCAATAGTTAAGAGCTTGGCTGTTAACGAGAAAGTTGGCAGTTTGAATCCACCAGCCGCCCCTTGGAAACCCTATGGGGCAGTTCTGCTGTGTCCTGTAGGGTCGCTGTGAGTCGGAATCGACTCGACGGCAATGGGTTTGTTGGGGTTCATAACAGTAATGAGAGATTCAAGCTTTATGATCTTTACATATGAAAGCCTCAGAGTTTTCCAAGTGTATGCTGAAAGCTGTATAGAGTGTTCCAACAGAGACGGCTTCACAGGTGAACTGGAGGATCTACATATGGGACGCAAACCCATTGCCGTCGAGTCGATTCCGACTCATAGTGATCCTACAGGACAGAGTAGAACAGCCCCACTGCCCCACAGGGTTTCCAAGGAGCGGCTGGTGGATTCGAACTGCCACCCTTCTGGTTAGCAGCCGAACTCTTAACCACTGCACCATCAGGGTTTCCACATATAGGAAAACATACTTAATTTCTCTTAAGATAATGAATGAAATTTTATTTCTGTAGCACATAAGGTATTCTGACACGTCCAGTATATTGGTTGGTGTTTATGTTTTCATTCAGGGAGTGGCATATTTGTGGGGTGCGGACTACTAAAAGGAACAAATTATCCCTATACTATTTTAGCAGTTTAAGAAAGTTTTAAAAGCAATCTATATATTTTTAGAAAACCTTCAATCTTCTTTTTTGGTAGCCTAATAAATTTACTTTATTAGGTGAAATGTGACATATAGGTTGTATGCATTTTGTATAAATGAACAGTAGGAATTTAAAGTATGAAACATTCTTTGCACTGAATTCTTCTGATATCTTCACATAAATCCTGGTTTTCCTTTTCATCATCTTCAATTGCTTGTCTCTTTGCAAGAAGAGAGAGCAATAGATTTATATAGCTAATTTATATGTGCTTATGTGGATATATATGTGTATATATACATACATGTAAAAACTCATTGCCGTCGAGTCGATTACAACTCATAGCAACCCTAAGATATATACGTACATATTTTACACGTATGTATGTATGTTTAAATTGCTACAAATGTAAGATTTTTGTTTGTCATAGAAGGGAGGCAAAGAATGATAATGATAGGTGTGGCCATTGGCAGATCACCCTGTATTGCCTGAGAAATTAAAAGAGAGAGCTATTTCTGTACTTATTTATGTATTTGTGTGTCTATGGGTAGAGCATAGAAATGGAAATGGCAAAAAAAAAAAAAAAAGAATGGAAAAAGATGTAGAGGAAACAGAATGAGGAATACGCCTTTGTCAAGTTTTGCTTGGTGGGCTATAGTCCTGATCTTACGGTGCTAGCCTATGATAAAAGCAAGATAATATGCAGTTGTAATATGAAGGTCTTAAATAAATTATGATATTTAGACAGAAAATGTACGTATATTCCTCATACCCAAATATTTGCTATTGAGAAAAATTTGGATTAGTTTTAAAATCCTTACTTACTTAGAGGTCCTTACTTACTAAAGAACTTTAGAGATAATCTTCATTCCTTCTATATTCCATCCATAATTACTTTGGAAGTTCACCCAAATTCTAAGAAAATAATTTAGTTTTGGTGAAGCTTTTCAGCAACCTGACATACTAAACCAGTACTCAGCTGTCTTCTAAAGTACTTTCTTGAAGGTTTATGTCATGGAACCATGTTCCAAGGTAAATAATGCTTATGTTGATCCAACCAGTGTTTGCTCAACAACTGTGGTAGGCCAGGCACTATTGTAAGCCCAGAGTCCCTGGGTGGAGCAAACGGTTAACGAACTTGGCCACCAACTGAAAGGTTGGAGGTTTGAATCTACCCAGAAGCACCTCAGAAGAAGGGCTTGGTGATCTGCTTCCAAGAAATCAGCCATCGAAAACCCTATGGAGCACAGTTCTACTCTGACACATGTGGGATGATGACCACATCATTACATAACTGCCAAACCATTGAGAACCATGGCTCGGCCAAGTGGACACATGACCTTAACCATCAAAGCCAGCGTTATTTTTGCCTCACGCTTTGGTGTTCATTACTGCCAGACGTATGTTGTTAATGTGTAGAATAGTCAGATAGCAGATTTTTGACTATTGTAAATGCAAATGAGATAGCTGATGAGTGATGAGTAGCTGTATTTAATGTCAGTGTATTTAAACACAGGTGTGTAATATATATGGAAAATTCTACTTTTGATTCTTATATAGAAAGATATCTGTATTAAAAAAAGTAAACCCATACCCATTGCCACTGAGTCGAGTCTGACTCATAGCAACCCTATAGCATAGAGTAGAACTGCCCCATAGGGTTTCCAAGGAGTGGCTGGTGGATTCGAACTGTTGACCTTTTGGTTAGAGACTTCTATTGTAAACTTTTAACAGAAATTTTACTTAGTTTACAAGGAGTTCAAAACCCTTGAGACGAAGTCTTTGATTTTTTAAAAGAACAATTTCTCAGAAGAGACAGTATATTTTGTGTAGCACTTGATGGCCTGGGTGGGTCACCCCAACTCCATGGACCCAGAAATCTGGATTCTAGGGGAATTAAAACTGTTTCTCAAGATTTGAGCCTGACTTTACTATAGGATATAGCTGGTAGGTAAAGGCCAGATTTTGCCCAAATCTAAGACTAAAAGATCACACTTGTATTCAGAAAATAAATCTAATGGAGTTAAACATTAGTAAGAATTCTTTCCGTTTTGCAGTTTAGTTCAGATCTGAGCCATTTAGACTTCTATTTTTCCATAGTAAATAAAAACTTAAGAGCTGTAAGACACGTTAAATACTTCATGACTGCCTTGTAAGCCTACTTTTTACATTCTGAAACTTTGTTTTAAAGTCGTGTGAGTTCTATGTCACCAGTGTTAATAAAAAGAGATACCACCTATCAAACTGGGATACAGAGACTTTTAGGAAAGCACGAGACCTCCTCAGCAGTGCAAGGGGTGCATGGGGCGAAAGGAGGAGGAATCGCAACAACTGAAACATTTTATGTCTACCAGTTCTCTATGCTAAGGATATTACAAAGTAAATATTTATGAGTTATTGTCTCGAATTAGTTGCAATACCTGTAAAAATAGAAATATGTTTTAGTTTGATAAGTTTTAGTTACGATGAAGCAATGTTTCCGTCAGCAAACAGCCTTACTTTTTTTATTTTTAGCAACAGAGAATTAGATTATTACGGTATTACATGGAAGTTATAAAGGACATTTCTTTCCTTCACATTGATTCTCAAACCTGGCTGGGTATTGATAGCATTTGGGGGATTTTGTGTTGAAATACAGATTTCCAGGTTCTATCCAAGAGGTTCTGATTCATTAAGCCTTCCGTAGACTCCCCAAATCTGTATTATCTTTAAATCCTTACATGATTCCTTGTGGACATCCAGATCTAGCCCATGTTCAAACTCCAAAGCAGACTTTGCTTGTTAGAAGAAAGAAACAGCCACTATTAAGAGAGAGAAATGGAGTCGAGGCTTCCAAAGCTATTGGAGATCCAATTGACCATATTTCACCAATTCTAAAGTGTACACTCAGAAATTTTAGAAGTGTACAATTTAGAAAGTGTACATCTGAAATTAAGATGCCTTTAATAATCAAGGAGCCCTGGAGGCACAGTGGTTAAGAGCTACGGTGAACTATGGCTGCTAACCAAAAGATCAGCAGTTCGAATCCACCAGCTGCTCCTTAGAAACCCTATGGGGGTTCTACTCTGTCCTATAGGGTTGCTATGAGTCAGAATCGACTCCACAGCAGTGTTTTTTTTTTTTTTTTTTTTATAATCAGTGGCATCTAACATCTGTGGCAATTGAGGCATGACTGTGTGAAAACCTTCTGTCAGTACCTGCGAAGATCATTGAATGCCAGCATCGGACCATCTTATTGTTGTTAGGTGCCTTCGAGTCAGTTCCGACTCACAGCGACCCTGTGTAGAACAGAACGAAACACTGCCTGGTCCTGCACCATCCTCACAGTCATTGTTATGCTTAAGTCCGTTGTTGGCAGCCACCGTGTCAGTCCATCTCGTTGAAGGTTTTCCTCTCTTTCACTGACCCTCTGCTTTACCAAGCATGATGTCCTTCTCCAGGGACGGAGCCCTCCTGATGACATGTCCAAAGTATATGAGATGAAGTCTAGCCATCCTTGGTTCTAAGGAGCATTCTGGCTGTACTTCTTCCAAGAAAGATTTGTTCATCCTTCTGGCAGTCCATGGTGTATTCAATATTCTTCACCAACATGATAAATCAAACGCTTCAGTTCTCCTTTGGGCTTCCTTATTCATTGTCCAGCTCTCACAGGCCTATGAGGTGATTGAAAACACCATGGCTTGGGTCAGGTGCACGTTAGCCCTCCAAGTGACATCTTTGCGTTTTCACACTTTAAAGAAGGCTTTTGCAGTGGATTTGCCCAGTGCAGTGCATCGTTGATTTCTCGAGTGCTGCTTCCATGGGTGTTGATTGTGGTTCCAAGTAAAATGAAACCCTTGACAGCTTTAATGTTTTCTCCATTTATCACGGTGTTGCTTATTGGTCCAGTTGTGAGGATTTTTGTTTTATGTTGAGGTGTATCCATACTGAAGGTCATTGAGTGCCAGCATTGGAGCATCTTAGATTTAGTAAAATACAGTATCTTCACTCTATTTTACTTAAAAAATTTTGAGTCAATGCTTAAGCTAGATTTTGATTTCTGACACACCAAATTTTAACTCTTTAGTTCTTCTGTCAATCAACCTTGACTTCCGGCTATCTAGCCCTACAGAAATCTCTCCCTGACTATCTTTTGCAGGAAGTTGATAGATCTTTCAATGCCAAGTGAAAGGGTCGTCTCCAGATGTCTGGGTGAGAACGCTGTGAAATCTCTCTCTAAGTCCCCAGAAATGGACAGGGCTAAAACTGAGAGTATCAGAACCCGTACACCACACCTTTATGTCTCTCGGCTCTAGCCCTGCCTTTTCCAGATGCGGCCAGAGTGAGTCAGCAAGAAAGACCTAGCTCTGCTCCCATGAGTTCACCCTGACCTTTTCAGTTCTAGAGGGATAATTGGATTAGATGATAAACTATGTCAAATTTCGGAAGAAAATTGTTACTAACTCAAGACAGTCCTCTAACAGTTCAGTAATATGTTGGCTTGCTCATGTCTGTTGCTTACATCTCATTAAAAATTGAATTGAATTTAGAAATGGAATTGTTGAATACTTAATATAATAAAACTTAATTTTGCTTAACCAGAACTAGAATAATCAGTTGGCGAGGTCGTGGTGTATTATTGATGGTTTTGCAGTTCTATTATGTAAATTGGCCAAATCTCTCCGAGTTTTAGTCAGTTTCAGAAGGCTGAGGTGATAATTCCAAACTTAGAAATCAGTGAAAATGGAAAGCCTCACCATAAAAGACTTTCACTACTTCTTTAAACTTAAACTGAATTCATTCGGCTGACTCTAAGAAAATATATGTATTTTATATAGATAGATAGGTAGATTGATAGATAGATAAATATATTTAATTGCCTTTTTGTGTACGTTCCCAGCATTCAAAGAAAAACCTCAGTATCCTCCGAGTCAGGCTCAAGCAGCGCTCCAAGACAGCCCCCCTGAAGACTACTCCTATAAGAAATCCATAAGGAACCTGTTTAAAAATGTTCCTTTTGTCCTTCTGTTGATCACTTACGGTAAGTGGTTTTATCTTGGTTGTCTTTGATGAGCTGTCCTTATAAACCTTTGAGCATTGTGGATTCTTTCCATTTAACCTAGTGGTTTGAACTTGAATTAATGAGATAGATTTGTTAACTGTAACAATAATTATAGCAGATAGGGAGAATGTTTGCACAACGGGAAGAATGTAATCTGTGTAACTGAATTGTGCACGCAGAAATTGTTGAGACAGCATATATTTTATTATGTATATTTTCACTACAATAAAAAATATAGCATAATCAATAAGCTGAAATTTTGAACGAAGAGTAAAATTCAGGAGGGACCTTCTTCCATCTGTAAACAAGTAGATCTAAAATAGAAAAGCGCCGTCTTTTGTGAGTTCTCACGGGGTATTTTATTTTAGTCCCCTTACAAATCGTAATTATGACTGCCGTAAGCATATGGAAATATCATCCACAATTCCTGTCTTTACCTTGTGCAAACTGGCATCTATTTTTGACCACTCAATCAAAAGTAGAAGATAAGGAGGACACCTTAACCTGTTTCACTTTTTTTTTGCTTATCCTTCTAAGACCGTTCACGAGAGCCGACATTCTTCCTTACGCTGTATGTAGCCCTCACTGCAGGCACCAGCTCACCTGGTTCTCCTCAGCCTTACCTGACAGGTTATTCTTTATTTCTTATGCTACCGCTCTTCACCTTAGCCACCAACACCGCTGCTTCTGCCTTATTTGCCTTCAGTCACTGGCTCAGTGCTGTTCTCTTCACTTCTTTTAATGTTTAATTTACCTTTTTAATTATTTTACAGGTTGTAGCAGATGTTGCCCTCACCTGAACGCTTACCCTTTTACCAGAATTACTTCTTCTTCTTTTTCGTTTGTTTTTTTTTTTAATGGAAATCTTCAAGCACAAAAGGCGAACATTTAATATAATGATCTCCTACGTACCCACCATCACCCAGCCGCAACCGTTTTCAGTGTTTTGCCATTTTTGCCTTCTCTAGTCCCCGTACTTTTTTCCTGAAATATTTTAACAACAAATCCTAGGTGATACACCATCTCATCCTTAAATACTTCAGCATGCCAGAGTTACTTCTCGGAATTTTGCTGGTTCCCTCCACGGGTTAGGTTAAACCTAAAACCTAAGACTTGGAAGTGGAGAAAACACAGTGGCTCCCTGTTATCAATGAGAGCAGATCCTTTCTTTAGCTTGTCACTAAGGCGCCTCTTTGCCTACCACTCTTTTCTCCCTCACTGTTTCCCCACACGACCTTTTCTGTCAGTCACACATGAGCACTCCGTGTCACAGACACAGACTCGGACACAGACCTGCCTTCTCAGGCACGTGCACTGTCACTTCCAGTCTCTGTGACTTTGTACCATTGTCTATTTTACCTAAACGTGCTCCTTCTATTTCCCTGTAAGAGCTAGCTTAAGGTCTACCTCACTGAGTGTTCATTTGGAAGGTTATACAGTAGAGAAAACTAATGAACTGGGGGTAGATGTATCACCATGTGTAAATCTCAAAACCATAATATTGAGTGAGAAGAGCAAGTTGTGATGGATACAAATAATATATTATTTATATGAATTTTAAATCTATGTTGAATAATTCTAGTTATATTTATGGATATGTAATGTGGAAATGGATGGATGAATACCAACATTAGGATAGGAGTTACGTCTGGGAAACGGGGGAGAATAGGGTTGGGAAAGGTCTAAAAAACAGATTTGAAGCGGACATAGCACAGTTTTACTGTTTGACAAAGCTGGCTGATAAGGGTATTTGTTATATTGTTCTCTATACCATTTCATATGCATTAAATATTTAATAATAAAGAGAGAGAGAGAAATAATAAACTTAAGTCTCAGCTAGGCTGAGAGACTTACCTAAAGTCAAACAATATGTTCAAGAAAAAGCCAGGGTTCAAAAACCAGTCTTATGATTCCTGATAGCCATCTGTTGATTATAATTTTTTTTATTGTGCTTTAAGGGAAGGTTTACCCTTCAGGTTAGTTTCTCATACAAACATTTATACACACATTGTTATGTGACCCTAGACGCTCTCCCTGTAATGTGACAGCACACTTCTCTCCTTTCCACTCCGGATTTCCCGTGTCCATTCAACCAGCTCCTGTCCCTTTTTACCTTCTCATCTTGCCTCTGGACAGGAGCTGCCCATTTAGTCTCATATATCTTCTTGAGCTGAGAAGCACTCTCTTCACAAGTATCATTTTATGTCTTATAGTCCAGTCGATTCTATGTCTGAAGAGTTGGCTTTGGAAATGGTTTCAGTTCTGGGTTAACTGAGAGTCTGGGGGCCATGTCTTCTGGGGTTCCTCTAGTCTTAGTCAGACCATTAAGTCTGGTCTTCTTACTAGAATTTTAGTTCTGCACCCCACTTTTCTCCTACTCTGCCAGGGACTCTGTTGTATTCCCTGTCAGGGCGATCACTGGTGGTAGCTGGGCACCATCTAGTTCTTCTGGTCTCAGGCTGATGCAGTCTCTGGTTAATGTGGCCCTTTCTGTCTCTTGGGCTGATACTTCCCTTGTGTCTTTGGTGTCTACATTCTCCTTTGCTCCAGGTGGTTTGGGACCAATTGATGCATCTTAGATGGTCGCTCGATAGCTTTTAAGACCCCAGATGCCACTCACCAAAGTAGGATGCAGAACATTTTCTTAATAAACTTCATTATGCCAATTGACCTAGATGTCCTCTGAAAGCATGGTCCCCAGATCTCTAACCCTGCTACTCTGTCCCTCGAAGTATCTGACTGTATTCAGGAAACTTCTTAGCTTTTGGTTTAGTCCAGTTGTACTGACTTGCCCTGTGGTGTGTGTTGTCTTTCCCTTCACCTAAAATAATTCTTATCAACTATCTAGTTAGTAAATAACCCTCACCCTCCCTCCCTACCCTTGTAACCATCAAAGAATGTGTTCTTCTGTGTTTAAACCTTTTCTTGAGTTCTTGTAATAGTGGTCTCATACAATATTTGTCCTTTCGTGACTGACTAATTTCACTCAGCATAATGCCTTCCAGATTGATCCATGTTATGAAATGTTTCTCGGATTCATTGTGGTTCTTTATCATTTCGTATTATTCCATTGTGTGTGTATACCATAATTTGTTTATCCATTCGTCTGTTGATGGGCACCTAGGTTGTTTCCATCTTTTTGCTATCGTGAACAGTTCTTCGATGAACATGGATGTGCATATATCTATTAATGTGATGGCTCTTATTTCTCTAGGATATATTCCAAGGAGTAGGATTGCTGGATCATATGGTTCTTCTATTTCTAGCTTTTTAAGGAAGTGCCAAATTGATTTCCATGTCTTTTTTTAATTACTATTTAATTAGTATTGTCTTACTAATTGCTTTATAAGATCTTTGATGCAGGGGTAAGACCTCTGAAGCAGGGGATCGGTTTTATGCTTTTAACTGTCAGTGGATATAGCATCTTATAGGTGCTCAATAAACAATCCATTGCCGGATTGGTTGTTATATACTGTGTTACATGTGGGGAAATGATTCCTGTAGGTATATCTGAATCTAAATAATAATGAGTGGTGTTATGACAGAATTCTACGATTATAACTCTAGTAAATTTAGGTGTTAAATTGATTAGTCCATACTCTGAAAGGAAGTAACAACAGTTCTTGGTTTGTGAACTGTCTGACACATTGTCTTGTGCTGTTGAGTCGATTACAACTCAGGGCCACCCCATGTGACAGAGTAGAGCTGTGCTCCATAGGGTTTTCTTGGCTGTAATCTTCATGGAAGCAGATCGCCAGGACTTTTCCTCTGCGATGCCGCTGAGTGTGTTTGAACTACCAGCCTTTTGGTTACCAGCTGGGTGCAAACTGTTTGCACCACCCAGGGACCTGCCTGAGATGTGTATTATATTTTTACAATTGTCACATGGTACTCCACGTTGTTTTACGACTGGTAAATGGTAAGCATAAAGTTTTCTATTTATTATTGTAGGTATCATGACTGGAGCATTCTACTCGGTCTCAACACTATTAAATCAAATGATATTGACACATTATGAGGTAAGCTGCTGCCTGCATTGAATGGCATGTCTGGCCAAGAATGTTTCTTTATCGATAGAATTCTTATTAGCATGATCATACGATTCAGGATTCTGATCTTGTGACTGTAAAAGATTTACATTTGTTTTAACTGAGAAAACATTTAATCCAATTATAAAACACACACTTAGAAAACAGAAGTTATTATTGTTTTGACAATATTTGTCTTTTTTTTCTTCAAAGAAATGGTTTTGCTAATTATATGAAAAAAAAAGTTTTTAAGGAATGCCAAAACTAACGTAAAGAAGTAAATACCAGGCACTTACTGATGTCTGTTTACTTAATTTTTCATTATATTATTATATTATATGCTTAATTTTATCTGATTATTACCATTGACTATGAAAAGGTATGTTAAGATTATGTTAAAGATCTATTTGAATTAGAGGAAATTTATGGTTAATTTCTTATGAAAATTGTTTTAAGGGAGAAGAAGTGAATGCTGGAAGGATTGGGCTAACACTGGTGGTAGCTGGAATGGTGGGCTCTATTATTTGTGGCTTGTGGCTGGATTACACCAAAACATACAAGTAAGTATGAGACAGCAAATGTATGGTGTCCAAAGGCACTGGTTTTAAAGGAAATGTTGCTCATTATTTTAAGAAACTTTATTAAAGTATTATTATGAAAGACTTGGATTCTAGATACTCTTGGGCTCCCTACACTTACTGAATGTTTCAAAAGTCTACAGCTTTTCTTTATTTATTTTGTTGGTCATATTTATTTCAACTTTGGGAACCTGGATGTCTTATCTTTGCCTCTAACTCATACATACCTTCAGAAGGGATCGTTTCTGTTCTAAAAAGTGCCCTTTCTGAGAAACATTTGACTTTTGCATGTGTCTGGTAAATATATATATGTGTGTATATGTATCTATATCTATCTATATATAAATAACAAAACATTTGCCATTTCAACTTTTTTTACGCAATTTAATAATATTAATTATGTTCATCGTGTTGCGCAACCATCATCTTTGTCCATTTTCAAATATTTTCATCACCGTTAACAGAAGCTCGGTGCTCCCTAAGCGATGAGCCCCTGTTTCCCCCTCCCTCCCACTAATAAACCACTAATAAATTGCAGACTCTATACATTTGCCTATTCTAGATATTTTATATGGATCATATAATATTTGTCCTTTGTGACTGATTTATTTCACTCAGCATGGTGTTGTAGCATGCGTTAGGATTTCCTTTCTTTTTTGTGGCAGAGTAATGTTCCATTGTATGTGTGTACGGCATTGTGTTTCTCCATCCATCTGTTGATGGACATTTTGGCTATTGGGAATAGTGCTGCGTGAACATTAGCGTATATGTATCTGTGTTCCTGCTTTCAATTCTTTTGGGTGTATACATAGGAATGGAATTGATGGATCATATGATAATTTTATATTTAACTTTTTGAGGAACTTCTGAAGTCTTTTTCACAGCAGCTGTACCGTTTTAAGTCCCACCAGCAGTGGATGTGGATTCCGATTTCTCCACATCCTTGCCAACACCTGTTGTTTTCCTTTTTTAAATCCTAGCCATCTTAGTGAGGGTGAAGTGATACCTCACTGTGGTTTTGATTTGCATTTCCCTAACGACTAATGGCGGTCCCTCAGTGGTACAAACAATTTGCATTTGACTGTTAACCTAAAGGTTGGTGGTTTGAACCTACCCAGGGGTGCTGTGGAAGGAAGACCTGGTGATCTGCTTCCTCAAATATTACAGCCAAGAAAACCCTATTGAGCAGTTCTACTCTGTAACACATGGGGTCGCTATGAGTCAGGATTGACCTGACTGCAGAGGGTTTTTTTTTTTAATGACTAATGACGTTGAGCATCTTTTCATGTGTCTCTTGGCCTCTGTTTCTTCTTTGGTGAAATGACTGTTCAAGTCCTTTGCCCATTTTTAATTGGGTTGTTTGTCTTCCTGCTGTTAAGCTGTAGGAGTTCTTTATATATTCTGGGTATTAAACCCTTATCAGATATATAGTTGCCAACAATTTCCTCCCAATCTGTAGGTTATTTTTCATTGACAAGAAAGTATGAGTTGTGAAAGCCCAAGGGTTTATTACTGTACAGGTAGACAGTAGTTAGCCAGATGGATTTATATGCCTAGGAGATTCAGAATACTAACAATTCTGTTGTTTTGTTTTTAGACAGACTACTCTGATAGTTTACATCTTGTCTTTTGTTGGAATGGTTGTGTTTACTTTTACACTGGACCTTGGCCACCTCATCATCGTGTTTGTTACTGGAGGGGTACTTGGGTAAGCACCGGGTGTGTTTAGGACGAATGACAGCATGGTGTCATTAATTCTGAGGTGTTATTACTGTGGGTTTTGTTTTCTTAAGTTCATCTAAAGTTTTTTAATATTTTAAACTTTGAAGAATCTGCTCTGTGCATGTAAGTGCGTAATTCTTTACAACTATAAAAACAGTTTTCCCTTGTTTTTTGGTATCTACAAATGAAAAATGGGTAGGCCTTATTTAATCCTGGTAACTTTATTTGGTTAGAGGGGTGATTGATTTATAAAACTATAAATTCTTCTCAGAAGAAAAAGGTAGGAATTGTTCTGCTTTCCTATTCCTGTGACATTGGGCCGATTGGTCAATAATACCAGTCTTAGTTTCACGTAGCAACTTTATATGTATATTTTATTGTTGTAGTTTAAGTGAAAGTTTACATTTCAAGTGAGTCTCTCATACAAAAATTTATACACACATTGTTATGTGACCCTAGTTGCTCTCCCCATACTGTGACAGCACACTCCTCCTTTCCACCCCTGATTCCCTATGTCCATTCAACTAGCACCTAACCCTCTCTACCTTCTCATCTCACCTCCGAACAGAAGCTGTCCATTTAGTCTCATGTATCAGCTTGAGCTAAGAAGCACACTCTTCACGAGTATCATTTTATCTCCCACAGTCCAGTCCAATCTTTGTCAGAAGAGTTGGCCTTGGGAATTGTTTTATTTCTGGGTTGATAGAGAGTCTGGGGGCCATGATTTCCAGGGTTCCTCCAGTCTCAGTCAGACCATTAAGTCTGGTCTTCTTACTAGAATTTGAGTTCTGCAGCCCACCTTTCTTCTGCTCCTTCAGGGACTCTCTGTTGTGTTCCCTGTCAGGGCAGTCCTTGGTGGTAGCAGGGCTCCATCTAGTTCTTCTGGTCTCAAGATGATGCAGTCTCTGGTTAATGTGGCCCTTTCTGTCTCTTGAGCTAATACTTTCCTTGTATCTCTGGTGTTCTTCATTCTCCTTTACTCCGGGTGGGTTGGGACCAATTGATGCATCTTAGCTGGCCGCTTCACATAGCAACTTTACAATATTCACTTATTTGATCTTCAGGACAGTTTTAAGAGGCAGAATGATTGCATCAATACGTGATATTGTCTTATCGCTAATTCTTTCTATAATTCTGGATTTATTTTCCTAGTTTCTTCATGACTGGTTACCTTCCCTTGGGTTTTGAATTTGCTGTTGAAATCACTTACCCTGAGTCTGAAGGTACTTCATCCGGACTTCTTAATGCTGCTGCACAGGTAATTCTCTGGTTTCTCTCAAACCTGAGGTGGTTAGAATACTTACCGGGTATTCTGGTAGAAAGCTAAGGAAATGGATAATGAGTTTGACCATAGTTTTTGTTTTACGATTCTACCTTTCAATGAATGTATTTTGAAGCTAAATCATATGAATAAAATTAGTTAAGAAACGTTCTGGGAAACCCTTTACACTTGTTTTAAAGAAGCAAACTTAATAAAGATCGTTTCTCTTATTTTAGATATTTGGAATTCTGTTCACATTGGCACAAGGCAAGCTCATATCAGAGTACGGTCCTCTGGCAGGGAACCTTTTCCTCTGTGCTTGGATGCTTGTAGGCATCATTTTAACAGGTAAGCTGGGTGTCCTCATGACAAAAGTGCCTGTGTTGTGTTTGTACGTTTAATTTTCAGGTATATTACTTCTCAGTGGCTTGGCAGAACTGCAGGGGGAGGGGTGGGGGGCATATAAAAAATGAGGTAAAAAGTAGACTATTATTTGTTTCCTTCTAAGGATATGAATGTGTTAATTCATTTTGCAGGTTTCAAGTTCAGTATAGTTATTATGCATGGGAAACAGAACCCCTGTAATGAGGGTCAGTAAAGACCTGGCCTCAAATTCTGTTGCTGCTGCTTATCCGCTGTGTGACTTTTCACAAGCTACTTAACCTCTCAGATCCTCACTTTCCTCGTTTATGTGATGGGGTATTAGAAAGCTCGTCTTACAGATGTACAGAGTCCAGAGTTTCTTAGTGGTTACCGGGTGAGGGAGGGGCAAAGAGGAGCCACTATGCAGGGGCACTGAGCTTCCGTGAAGGCGGATGGAAAAATTTGGAAACAGATAGTGGTGAGGGTGGCTCAACAGGATGAACGTAATTAACGTCACTGAATTATACGTGGAACAATGCTGCCATGGCAAATGTTTACGTATACATACATATCTATATATATTTGCCACAATAAAAAAGGTTATATAAAAAAAAAATGGTAGCTTAAAAAAAAAAAAGCCTGCCTTATAGGGTTGCTTTGAGGCTTCACTGAGGGGGTTGATGAAAGCCCCTAGTGTAGTGTCTGGCAGCCAGGACATGTCTGATACGTGTTAGCGATTATTCAAAGGTGGCAGTGGCGGTGATATGATATTAAGTGGTGGTGGTGGAGCTAGCACTGGAATGTTAGCCAGTTCTTACACTTTGGAGGTATAATCAGAATAGACGCGGACAAGAAGGAGAGTAGTGTCCAATCTCCAGAGAAAGAGAATGTAAAAGACCTTTCACCAAAGTTTGGTCATGCATGAGCATAAAAATGGATTTGGAAGCAAGACGTACATCGAGCATTGTTTCCAGGCCCATGCCGGCTTCTCCTGTGATTTCACTTCACTTTGTTGATTTCTTTCTGCATCCCCGTCTCAGCATGAAAGCTAGAAGAGGGATTATTTCTTTAATCTGGTTACAAGTTAATTCCAGGATAGAATCTATGAGAAAGACATGAGTCAAAACTTCTGTTGATGTTTGTCGTGGTCTCTGGGTGGTGCAAACGGTTTGCGCTGGGCTACTAACAGAAAGGTTGGCGGTTCGAACCCATCCAGCAGCGCCGAGGCAGTCTGCTTCTGTGAAGACTGTAGCCAGGGAAACCCTACGGAGCTCAGCTCTGCTCTGAAACGCATGTTTATTGAATACCTGCTCATTCTTTTTGAAACCCCGCGTATGAGATCTTACCAGTGATAAACATTTATTTTGGATTTGCACAGCCACCCGAGGTCACTAGCATTCATTCATTGTGCTCAGAGAGAGTCAGTTTACCGTTTCCTCAAAGACAAACATCCTACCATGAGAGGGGCCTCCCACAATGCTCTTCGTAAAATAAACAACACTGTGACATGTCTGCTACATTCACTGCCTCGACTTCTGACTGATGACAAACGCTTTCACACTAGTTCTTAGTGTCTAGACAACTAACTAGTTGAGTGATGTTGTTGTACCAAAAACAGCAACAGTTTTGTATTATCTTTTTACATTGTTTTTAATAATCAGATTCATAAATATTCATTCAAATAAATCAAGTTTAGAAAATTAATTCAGGGAAAAACGATCTATGAAATCAGTTTCAGACTGATGCTTTTACCATCTAAAAATGTCCATTAGCGACAACATAGTTTATAAAGAAAATGCTCTACATTCTACCTTGGTGAGTAGCATCTGGGGTCTTAAAAGCCTGTGAGTGGTCATCTAAGATACTCCACTGGTCTCATCCCTTTGGGAGCAAGAGAGACCGAAGAGAACAAGATACAAGGAAAAGATTACTCCGAAGGACTAATGGACCACAGCTACCACGGCCTCCACCAGACTGAGTCCAGTACAACTAGATGGTGCCCGTCTACCACCACTGACTGCTCTGACAGGGATCACAACAGAGGGTCCCGGACAGAGCTGGAGAAAAATGTAGAACAAAATTCTAACTCACAAAAAGAGACCAGACTTACTGGCCTGACAGAGACTGGACAAACCCTGAAAGTATGGCCCCCGGACACCCTTTCAGCTCAGTAATGAAGTCCTGAGGTTCACCCTTCAGCTAAAGATTACACAGGCCCCTAGAACAAAATGAGACTAAAGGGGCACACTAGCCCAGGAGCGAGGATGAGAAGGCAGGAGGGGACAGGAAAGCTGGTAATAGGGAGCCCAAGGTCGAGAAGGGAGAGTGTTGACATGTCATTTGGTTGGTAACCAATGTCATAAAACAATATGTGTACTAACTGTTTAATGAGAAACTAGTTTGTTCTGTAAACCTTCATCTAAAGTACAATAATTTAAAAAAAATAAGTAGAAAAAAATGTCAATTAGCTTCTAACATGTGTTAGAGAGCTTGGTGGACTTCCACCCAGCATTCATCGTACAGCCTGAGGAAGAGAGGCTAAGAGATTCCTGAGGTGTCGTGGAGGTGTGCTTTTCTGTTCTACATTTTTTCCTAGAATTGCTGTGAGTTATTCTGACATAGGAATTACCCTCTGAATGCAGCGCATTTTACTTTTCAAATAATGACAGCCCTCAGTGAAGGATTTTTGTGTCCATGGAAGGACGTGGTTGCTAATGCCATTCATATTGTTTCTGAGAATCTATATATAATATTAGTGCCAAAGAAATACACATTTCCCCCATATAAAACATTAGTTAATAGCATCTTGCATATGGCGTATCGTACAGCCTTGTAGAGCTGATCAGTCAATGGCGATTATTGCTGGAAGTCAAAGCATAGTGTTTCAGTATCTAACTGCTTTTAAATCTGATTCTGTTACACAACATTACCAGTGTCTTTAGAATCACTTTTACACCTTCAGAAAGGCCGTATTTACCTATATCCACTTAGCCCAGCACAAATACCTGCATTTCTAAAACGCTGATGTCAATTCTGACTCATGGCGGCCTGACTTGGGTGTCAGAATAGAATGTGCTCCATAAGGTTTTCAGTGGTTGATTTTTCAGCGGTAGATCGTCAGGGCTTTTTTCCAAGGCGCCTCTGGGTGGACTCAGACCTCCAGCTTCTCGGACGCCAGCCAGTCGCGTTAACTGTTTGCATCACCCAGGGTCTCCAGTGAATGGCGTGTTGTTTGTTGCCGTAGAGTCGGTTCTGAATCACAGGGACCCCACGTGTGCAGAGTAGAACTGCTCCGTGGGGTTTTCAAGGCTGTGACTTTTCAGAAGCAGATCGCCAGACTATCTTTGAAGGTACCTCTGTGTGGGTTCGAACCACCAACCTTTCAGCTAGTAGGCAAGTGCTTCCCTATTTGTGCCACCCAGGCACCCCTTGTTAATGGCTTAGAGAAGTACTGTGTATGTGTTTTCAGGCTACAAGGATACCGTTGAATATCCTGGTACTGTAGTGTGCTAAGTTTGACGATATCTGAAAAGACAGCACCCCTCAGAGAAGAGATACTCACACATACAATATGGTAACTCCATTGCTGCTCCTTGTTTCAGCATTAATCAAGTCTGATCTGAGAAGACACAACATAAATATAGGAATTAAAAACGATATTCAAGCTGTAAGTAATGAGTCTTTTATGATTCTATTATGGAGATTATATTATTTTATTATAATGATTAAATATTGAATATTTTTATGATTATAATTATACATTGATAATATTTATATGATTATTGAAACAATGTTGTATCATTGTGTGTAGACTAAGTCTGAAATTAAGTCATCTTGTCAACCGTTGTTTTGGTTTTTCCTGAGGCAGAGCCGTTCATATAATAATGGCATATGTCAGATACTATAAATGTTTTCCTTCTGATTCTTTTTACAGTTGCCTATTGACAGTCCCACAGATCAAGAACCAAAAACTGTTATGTTGTCCAAGCAGTCGGAATCAGCAATTTGAGATGAAAGGAAAAGTTAAATAATGTCCAAATATCATGTGAGAACTGGGTACAATGGAATGATGCTTGGAGAAATATCTGAGCAGTGAAGCTTGTTTTTTAGATCATGGGGTATACACACTTACTTGACCATTATTAGATGAACTCTGAATGTACCATGTCTTTTGCATAAAGCCTATAACATTATCTTAACACTACCATTTATCCAATGAATGTCTCATTTTTAGTTTTATATTGTCTGTCTGAAAGTAAGCTTCCTGACATTTATTTTTCAAAAATAGATATTTTTATTTTTTGCAGAAAACAGAAGCCTACAGGGCTTTCTGAATTGATAATATGAGGGTCCATTCCCCTTAACCCTCTCGTGAGTAATGGGATATACATTTGCCCACCTACATTTTCTTTTTCTGCCTCTCAGGTTTCTTGGGAAGTTGTTTTCCCATTTTCAGTGCATGCTGCTACCAGGCGGGGACCTGTTTAACTTTTTGAAACTGAAGAAATGAGCATGTGCTGCAAGTTATGTTTTTACAGAGTACTGTGTTCGGTGGTGCATCCTGGAGGTGTGATTGTGTGAAACTTTTGTCTCTTGGCTTTTTTACAGCGAGATAAGCCTTGTAGGTATATTTCCAGGTTCCTGTGTGTTACTTGGAAGTCCTGTTTCTCATCCCACCATCCTACCCTCAGAGTCCAGGGGGACATATGTGTCCCGCTTAATCACATAATCCTACTGCTGTGGTGCAGAGGGGCAAGTATATTCCCAATAATATTACCAAAAATCCATATCATCTGCCAGAAATTCAGACAACACTCAATGATTCAGCATGCATTCCATTAATGAAAAAACAAAAAATCAACAACATTTTACAAGCGGAAAATAATTCATTCACGAAAAAGTGTCATGTAGGAGTACATGCTGTTTATATATAAAACTATGTAGTGGAACCAAATATATAGTATGTTCCTAATTGTCTCTTTTCCACCTGCTGACCACCCCCCCTCAGCATATGAATACAATATAACAACATGATGTTAGTAACCCACTAAAGGACAGTATCTGGGCCAGGCTACCAGTTGGCCTCTAAGATGGTTTCCATTTCTTCTATTCTTGTTACAAAGCACTTTGTCACAAGTACTGTCTATGGCCACAAGATAGTTTTTCTCTGTTAAAGAGAAAACGATAACTATTCTGCGTACAGATTGACTTTGATCTTGGAGTTATGATGTAACTAATAAAAGGAACCCCCACACTGGCTCATTTATCTTGAGTTCGTCTCTGTGCTTCCTTTTCATCATGGTCTAAATGCTACACCATATTTTTTCACTCCAGTTTGAAATAGAGTAATTTTGTACTTGTTACCTTTTTTTTGAATATGTGAATTTCTAGTAAGAAGATTTCATCATAGATGTTACTGGCTTTTTTACAATTTCCTGAACCATATGTTATACTTTTGTCTTAAAGATTATTGAGATTAAAAAAAAAATTAGTAATTTTAGGACTCTGAGTGGCCCAAACAGTTAAGCTCTCGACTACTAGCTGAAAGGTTCGCTGTTTGGGCCCACCCAGAGGTACCTTGGAAGACAGGCCTGGCTATCTGCTTTTGAAAGGGCACAGCCTTGAAAACCCTACAGTGTGCAGTTCCCCTCTGCACCCATGAGGTCGCCATGAGTCAGAATCGACTCAGCGGCAACTGGTGGTACAGTAACTTCCGATGGCCTGGATGTTCCCATTTGGTGGAGACATCTTGAAAGGCTAACTATTCGAAATCTGCAGTGTCATTTTTTATGACCATTTTCTTTTGAAGAATAGTATGCCCAGCGACATGTTCCATCAGTACTTGGGGGAGTGAGTTCTTTTTTTCGCCCCAAACTGTACAAAGTCACCATACTGTTGGGACAGCCTGCTCACTTAGATGCTCAGGAAAGGAGAAGAGGTGTGTCCACGGTGCCTGCCGCTGCCTCTGTGTGCAGTGGGAACTGGTGTGCTTGATGTCCTGACTCTCTTAAGCTGATAGGGATGATCTTTGGAGTAATGGACATTGAACAGCCATAGTATTTATATTATGTTTACACATGCACACAGAGGCCAATCAGATAACGAATACCCTTGAAGTGAATAATTAATTCTGAGGTTGGCAGAGTATATAGATTTATGTTGAAATTATAATGTTCCATGTAATCAATGACAATAAGTTCTGTGGAATCTGATCCTGGTGAATGTGTTACTAGGAGAACCTAGGTGGGTATCAGGAATTCTGGGTCCATGTCCTAGACCTCTTTCTAGTTGTCGCTTTAGACAAGTCGTTAAACCTCTCTGGACAGGGTTTTCCTCATTCATGTAATCAGTGTGTTCAATTTGATCTCAAAAAAAATTTTTTTTTAAATCTTAACTGCCGTTCCTCATGGGGAAGACCAAATCATTTTCCAACAGGAACTTAAATCCAGCTAGAGAAAAATTCCCTGAGCAAGTCTGTTGTACCACAGAACAACCACCATACTGTCAAATCTCTTTAGCCTTTTTATTCAGCTGGTGAGAGCTCAGGCAGAATATGCCCAGTAATTAACTTTTTTTTTGTATTTACACCACAGGTCTTATGGCCAAAAATATGTTTTAAGGTTCCTCCCAAAACAATTGTGTTTTTATTTTTAAACTGTCACTGTTGTTTAAAATAACCATGTGCTTGTTGAATTCCTGAGGTTTTGTGCAAATCACAGATATAAAGCTGAATGCTGTTTTTCTGAAAAGTGTACATATATGATGTGCATATTTTTCTTTATTGACTAGAAGGGAGGTGAAATATGTGACGAAATGTAAAACCAGTTAGTGACGTCCCTGCATTTTGAGCTGAAGTTGTCTAGAACTTGTCAAACAAGAATGTGATATAGTTCTGTTGCATGTCTTTGGAAGATGGAGTTGCTGTCATCACTGGGTAAATTTACGTAAAACGGTTTTAGGGAAGAAACTGGATGCTTTCCAAAGCTGTTGCATTTGTAAAGATCGCAAATATAGCTTTTGCCTTTTGAGTATCTTGGAGAAACGTCTTTAAAAATAATGTTTGTGTGTAAATTTGGATTATTGCCACAAGAATGCTTTTCTGTCTTAAGTCAGTTTTGAAGTTCTAATTTCTGCCCTTTGTACTGTTCATCTGCTTGTTCTTCAGTATTTCAAAGTTGAAATAAATTTATTTTTTTAATGTTAATTTTGTCTGACTTAAAAAAAAAAAGTTCTTATATTTAGGTCCACACAGCAGTGAGAAGGGTTGGTGAGATTTCAGACCGTGCCAAGGAGGGTGAGAGGCTGGCTCTGTGAAGCACAGGGAGTCAGGCAGAAACAGCAAAGCTGTTGTTAACTGCCGTAGTCAGCCCCAGGCTTATGGAGACCCCGTGCACAATGGGATTGGACCGTTGTGTTCCATTGGGTTTTTATTGGCTAATTTTGGTAAACAGCGTGCCAGGCCTTTCTTTCAAAACAGCAAAGCAGAGAGACCTTAATCTCGTACTTTGGTGCCTGCCTCCTCGTAAGGCAGATGGGCTGCACAGAGCTAGCTCCTCTGGGACGCTATCCAGTACGCTTCAGACCTTCTCTATTTTCCTCCCAGTAGAATGTGTCTATATTGTACTGTGGTGGTGAATTTTTTTTTTTTTTTTTGTACTTTAGATGGTTTACAGAACAAACTAGTTTCTCATTAAACAATTAATGCACATATTGTTTTGTGACATTGGTTGC